CCGTCTGTAGAATGAGATGGAAAATGTCGATGGGATATAGTCTACCAGCAAAAGTGGCTCACCAAAGTCCACACCTTGCCTATCCCAAAAAGTCTATTCATCAACTTGTATCCTGAACTGGATCCAGGCCAGCCTATCCACGATCCCTCAAAGGGGATAAAGTTGTCGCCAATAGCAAAGCGCATGTCTCTGTCTCTGCCCAGCGATAAGTCTTTGCCTCTGTCCGGCTGAGATACGCCATGCCAGGAAGCGATGCGGAAAAGTGATAATCCCAAACGTGCTCACAATAAAGGCTAATCTACTCAACTGTCTGCAGGTGTGCACACACACAAAACGACAACACACTGGCCGACCTGGCCGGACCAGAGGCATGGACAGGCAAGAATAGAGAGGCTCAAACCGCCAAGACGTACGTCGAGGTGAGCTCATGGACGGTAGGCGTTAAATCAATGTCTCCGGGGCATGAGTCAGTCTACCAACACAGTACCAGTTGGGACAGATGAAGTATGAACTCGCAAATGAGAAGAGGAGGAATGGCGAGAGGAGAAGAGAGGAGAGGAGAGGAGAGGTGAAAAGAAAGAATAATTGATTATGACAGAGAGAGAGAGAGAGAGAGAGAAAGAGACAAAAGGAGTAGAGTAGAGGAAATCGTAAAAAATGGCAACTAAAGTGGGCGTTGGGATAAATGAAAAGTGAATCTTTCATTTGTTAATATTCACTCAACCGGCCAAGTTGCTGGCGCGTTTAGACGGACTAGATGAGAGCAAAGAATGAGTCTTCTTTGTCGAGAGTGTATCAAAAGTGAGTGAATGAGTGAAAACGGCCAAGTGAGGCGCAAAGAGGCTGGCCAAGTTGGATATGCTCACGATGGTCTCGGAGACATTCAATGAAGCAGAGTGAAAATGCGTCCAGACCAATGCGAGAGCAGAGGATTATGTCGATTTGATGCCACTCCGTCCGGTCCAAAAGGCAGACGAATAGTTGCCATGCCAATGTGTATCCAGTTGAATGGCTTCGGAGACTGCGGACCGGCTGGGTCGAGGAGGATTAGGGGCCTGGGGGTAGAATTGAAGACGACTTGGCTGGGCTCATCAAATGGCCTCCACATTCAGGCTGGACTGGACGACAAATTCTCTCTCGGCCAAGTCTCGTCCGCACTCGCGACCGTCGAGAAGAGAGGCCTCGGCTCAAACCGACTTGTTGAACTTACTTCCAGTTCGAGGGAAAGTGTTGCCGGTGAAGAGACTCGAAGGTCGGTTGGGGTCTGGGCAGTTTTCTGGACTCGTTAGCTTGAATTTGGTTGTGATGTGGCTACCTTGCTCTGACGATGTTCGTCACATGACGCACGAAAGCTTCTCAACTTTTCACCAGAATCGAAGCAGATTGCCTGAATGTTCCAGTAAAGCCAATTGACATCTGATTCAGTGAAATCCGCCATCATCTTCCGGTGGAACCGAACTTCGAATCTCTCGCCGCAACACTTTCACTCCGAACGGAAGTAAGCTCAACAATTGTGAAAAAAGAGACTGTTCGAGAACCAACTTTTATTTACACCAACTCGCGATGTTTTGCACTGGAAATTAAGCTTTGAAAGGTATGGAATGATTTGCATGCCTGTGTATACATGTGCACATACGCGCAGTTATCCGTCTGTATTCTTGTGTCTTGAGATGTATTCACACTATTTCGTGTAAGGTGATGAAGGAGGACCGTGTGATATGTCAAAATAGGTAGTTGCTATAAGGTAACGAAAACGCAGAGTAGGGCAACAGTCGGTAATATCGTTCGAGATTCATCTGCAAGATCGAGAACTAATCGCTATTTGAAGCATTCAGGAAGTGAAGGTAATTCTCAACTTCTTCATACGAATGGGTTCCAGGGCCTCAGATTTTGTCTATATTTACGTATACTGCTCATCGAGAATAGCAACACTTTCATAAATTTAAACCAATTAAAACATTATTGTAATGAGAT